TCTGCCGCTTAAGGCTGCATTCGTGCCATGCTGATGATTAGAACAAGTCACCCCCCCTCTCTGGGGGCCCTTGTGCCCCTCTCACCGAGTCAGGGTGGGAGGGTCCAGGCCGTAAAGAAACGGGTTCCTGTATCTACAGCTGTGGGGACTGAGGGGCCAGGCAGGCCTTGCTGGGATGGGTTGTGGGGGGTGGTGTTAGGCTGGCCCTATGGGGGCCATGCCAGGGATGCAGCCGGCCCCTGTGTTCTGAGGGTCGGGGCCCGTGAGGGTACTGCTCCCCGTAACCCCCCTCCACCGTGTGTGCCAGTGATCGGGGCGCTGATCGGGCGGCAGGAGGGCCGGAACATCGAGGTGATGAACTCCTTCGAGCTGCTGTCCCACACGGTGGAGGAGAACATCGTCATCGACAAGGAGTACTACTACACCAAGGAGGAGCAGTGTGAGTGCGGGGGCTGGGGGTCCGAGCAGCTCTAGCTCCCCGAGGTGACAGCAGGGCCTGGTACCGCACGCCAGCGCCGTGCAGCAAGACCAGAGCTCGGCAGGTGGATTAGGAATGGGGGGCTGCCCCTGGAGAGCATTTAGGGGTCTCACCACGTGCCCCCAGTGCGGTGCTTTGGCAGGGGGCCAGTGTGTAACCAGGGGCGTAGCGAGCAGGAGCAGGGAGGGGATTTTCCCTCTGCACGCGGCGTCCGGACCCAGTGTCCGCATTTTAAAAGGGGGGGGGCGGGAAGGAGCCAGGCCGCTGCTTCGGGGACGGGGGAGACGTTCTCCGGTGAGACGCTTACCCCCCCCGGCCGGCGTTCCTTGTCAGCAAGCAGGCGGGGGGCGATTGGGTGACGGGACAGAAGTGCCTTCGTGGGGAGAAAGGCGACGTGGGAGAGCCTAGTGGGTACGAAAGGGCTCTTCGAGCATGAGCAGAACAAGAACCGGTGGAAGCTCAAACCAGAGCAGTGCAGGTTAGAAAGGGCGGGCAGCTCCCGAGCCGGAGGGTCAGTCACCCTTTCAGCTCTCCCGGGGGGGGGGGACTCTCAGTCTGGCGATGGGTCCAGTCCAGGCTGGAGGCCTTTCCAGACGAACGCGCCGCGGGGAAACTGGGCGAGAGTCCCTGGCCAGTGGAGCTCAGACTTGAAGATCGAATGGGCCCTGCTGGCCTGACCGTCTGTGGAGCCCTGAGTTGGGGGAGCTGGGATCTGCCCCCCCACCCCACTAACTGTGTTCCTCTCTGTCCCCACCCCCCAGTCAAACAGGTCTTCAAGGACATGGAGTTCCTGGGCTGGTACACGACCGGTGGCCCCCCGGACCAGTCTGACATCCACGTCCATAAACAGGTCAGGCCCCACTCCTCTCCCAGAGC